GGGTAGAGGCAGAGGGGCACCCTACCTGGCCCTTCCATCTAGCCCTGCGCATCCATGCCTTAGTCAAGTAGCCATTTCCTGTGGAATGTACCTGTGGGCTGGCACAGGAGGGCAAGAGGCCCACATTCTGAGATTGGCTTGAAGGGCAAGATTAACCTAAGGGACAGCCAGAGTGTTTGGCACTGAGCCTAAGGGTCCCACAGTTGGAAAGGCAGAGATTTGTGTGGACTAGGGAATCAAGGAAGGCTCCTTGTCAGTGGGCCTGAAGGGCAAGGGGACTTGGGACCTATGGAGAGGAGAGGGAAGGCACTCCAGGGGGGAAAAATAAAAGCAAAGACAAGTTCTTCTTAACCTTACCCTGCCTCAGATGGTAATTCATAGAACCTTTGTGATTTTACAAGTAAGACTTCAAAAAACCAAGAGGTTAAGGGGCCTGTAGATGACACAGGCAGTGGAAAGGTGTTCTGCTCAAGGGTCGGCTTTCCCCTTGGGTCTCTGGATGTATAGCTGATAGGAATGTGAGGAGAAGCTCATCACATTTCAAAGTCCCTCTGGGAGGGACGTTACAAGTGCTGTAAGGCAGAGTGAGGGGCCCGAGTGACTTCACAGAGTGGGAATGAGAGCCCATTGTAATATGAATTAAAAAAACTCATGACACAATGACATCACATAGAGTGACAGCCTAATCATTACGGTCCTCTCCCTCAAAAAGGCAAATCATGACTCTCCGACCACCATGAAAAGGATACGTGGGCTCAGCGGCAGCCCAGGTGAAAGACAACATCAGCACTGTACAGAGATGTCACTAAAAGACAATTTAGTTCTACTCAGAGGGAGAGGAAATAGACAAGTGTCCTTAGCCTGATGAGACCCACTGTAAGGAACCACGTTTGGGAGGCAGCCTTTGATGCAGTGTGTCCAGGAACTTTCTAGCAATGAGAGATAACCTTTCTCAGGAGGGGGCTCCCTGTTACTGACCTTGGATAAGCAGAGGTGGGACATTGTTTACTGGGGGTGTTGCAGAGGAGGTGTACCAGGAGGTAGAGACTACCTGGGCTCTCATTTTAGACAATGGGCAACTCTGGTGGAGAACCACTGCACCTTCTCTCTTAATTTGCTTGAATCAGAGTAGTGTGTGTGTGTGGACATTTTAAGTCCGGCCTAAATAGAGCAGTCTAGGTCTCGAAGTGATAAACTGTGAAGGGGACGGCGCTTGGGGTTCATCCTGGCAGGTGGACCAGCCTGAGACCACTCAGATTTTCCAAAGCTCCAGAGAGACTGCATGTTTGGCGTATCCCTCTGATCTGGTGAGGGTCTGATGATAACCGCCGCAGTATCTGGCCAGGCCTCTAGGGTAGGCAGAATAGCATACACGAATGTTCTAGCAGCTTTAAGAGGGCTTCAGACTCACTTGGGGATTCCACAAAACAACTTAAAGATACTTTAACATGGATTCTTGGGTCAACTGTTACACAGATCTGGAGTGGGGCTCAGAAATCTTTTAACACTAATCAGGCTTCCTAGGCAGTTTGGCCACTTCTCGGTATCTATCTGAAGGAAATGAAATCAAATCACTTACTCTAAAAGATCTCTGCACCCCCATGTTCATTGCAGCATTATTTATAGGATACGCAAACCACCTAAGTGTACACACATTGTTGGAGGTGCTAGGCAGGAAAATAGATATGAGCGGGGTGGAAAGAGAAAAAGGCCAGAAAGTCCACTAAGAAGTCTGAAAATTAATCAATTAAAGCTCCAAAAGCCAGGAGTAACTTGGCCTGGAATGTTTGAATATTCCCCAGATAAAGGAGGGTACTCCTGCATAGCCTGTGTCTTCATTGTGTTAATGATGCAGGCCCAGCTGTAAACAACTTAGTAAAAGGCAGGAAAGATTCCATCTGGAAGATTGTATTTTAATACCCAGAAAGTTAAAATGTAAGATTCTAAACTTACTTTTTAGCAAACAGACAATAACTCAGCCCACATTGTGGGTTGGGCAGGCAGCCTGTTTGATAGGCTCCCTGACCAAGGCTCCCTGACCAAGACTCCGGGTATGGCAGGGAGAAATCAGAGCAGGAAGTTCCTTGTATTAAGTTAATTCTAAGTATTCAAAAAGCACTTAATAAGACTGTACCTCCAGCCCCTAGTCACAGCCCTAAAGAATCCTTAAAAGGGGGAATCCCCAGCCTTTCGGGGCACTCCTATCTCTCAGGTCACCCAGACTTTCTAAGTCTGTAACCTTTTAATCTTAAACTTTCTCCAACCTTTCAGGGCACCTCTTCTTGCTGAGGTTGCCTGCTTCACTTCTCTCTTTAAATAACTTTAAATAAGACTTTTACTCTGCTTCACTACTGTGTCACTGTCCTTCAATTCTTTGTTGCGGCGGGGACACGCACCGAGGAAAATACACAACACTCCCCTAACAGAGGATTGGATAAAGGAAATGTGGCATATGAATTACATATACAATAGAATATTATTCAAGCTTAAGAAAGAGGGAAATCCTGCCATGTGTGAAAGCATAGATGAATTGGGTGAACATTACATGGATTCTTGGGTCAACTGTTACACAGATCTGGAGTGGGGCTCAGAAATCTTTTAACACTAATCAGGCTTCCTAGGCAGTTTGGCCACTTCTCGGTATCTATCTGAAGGAAATGAATTAAGTCTAGTGAAATGACTAAGTGAATTAAGTCAGTGAAAGACAAAGACTGTTGGATCTCATGTGTATGTGGAGTCTAAGAAAAAAAAAAGAATCCGAACTCATGATGCATAAAATAGATTGGTGGCTGTCAGAGGTGGGAGATTGAAAGGGTATCTTGCTAGGACCTTCCTTACCCCAGAACGAGTCAGGAGATGGGCCCACACAACAGATTTTATTATCTGAAAGAGAACATGGCTGACCCCAGAGAGAGGGCACAGCAGCTCATGGGTGGGGAAGCATTTTTAAGGAGTAGGGGTAGGGTGTGTTCTGCGTTGGTGATTGGATCTTAAGAGGTGGGGGTCTTAGCGCACCAGAATTTGCCTTCGGGGATAACGGTGGGCCAAATAGGTGAAGGGGGTCAAAAGGTACAAACTTCCAGTTATTAAATTAAGTCCTGGGGATGTGATGTACAGCATAGTGACTATAGTTAACAATAGTGTATGGCATATTTGAAAGCTACCAAGAGTAAATCTTAAAAGTTCATGTCACAAGAAAATAAATTGTAACTATGTGTGGTGATAGATATTAACTAAACTGATAGTGATGATACTGTCACAGTATATAGGCATGTCAAATCATTATGTTGTACACCTAAAACGAATACACTGTTTTATGTCAATTATATCTCAGTTTTAAAAAGAATCAAAGAAAGAAAGGAAATCCATCTGGTTGTTGAAAATTTTTGTTCCTGGGATCTGATTATTCATTTACTCGTTTATTCACTCATTAAGCTATTCATGCATTCACATATTCAACAACTGTTTAGTGAGTGCCTACTGTATGGCAAGGCCTTTGCCATGCACTGAAGATATAGTAAGGAACTAGACAAGCTTGCTCTCTGCCTTCATAGAGCTTGTTAACCCTTGAGGAAAACAGATCTAGAACAAACAATTGTCAACTGTGAATATATTTTAAAAAAGAAATTCAAGGAACTATAGGAGTGTATCATAAAAGACCTTCTACAATAGCATCCCCCCTTCTCCAGGAGATAGTCACCAACTTGACTATATCAAGCTGAAAAGATTCTATACAGCAAAGGACATCATCAGTAGAACAAAAAGACATCCTATAGTATGGGAGAATATATTCATAAATGACAGATCTTTTAAAGGATTGACATCCGAAATATATAAAGAGCTCACGCACTTCAACAAACGAAAATCAAATAATCCAAATAAAAATGGGCAGAGGATCTGAACAGAAACTTCTCCAAAGAAGAAATTCAGATGGCCAACGGGCACATGAAAAGATGCCCCACATCGCTAATCATCAGAGAAATGCAAATTAAAACCACAATGAGATATCACCTCACACCAGTAAGGATCGCCACCATCCAAAAGACCAACAACAGCGAACATTGGCTAGGTTGTGGAGAAAGGGCAACCCCTCCTACACTACTGGTGGGGATGTAAATTAGTTCAACCATTGTGGAAAGCAGTATGGAGGTTCCTCAAAATAGAAATAGCATTTGACCCAGCAGTTCCACTTCTAGGAATGGAGTAGCCCAGTTCGAAAAAGACATGCACCACTATGTTTATCGCAGCACTATTTACAACAGCCGAGAAATGGAAGCAACCTAAGTGTCCATCAGTAGATGAATGGATAAAGAAGATGTGGTACGCAGGCACAATGGAATATTTTTCAGCCATAAGAAGAAAACATCCTACCATTTGCAACAACATGGATGGAGATAGAGGGTATTATGCTCAGTGAAAGAAGCCAGGCAGAAAAAGACAAGTATCAGATGATTTCACTCATCTGTGGAGTATAAGAACAAAGAAAAATACTGAAGGAATAGAATAGCAGCAGACTCAACAGAACCCAAGAATGGACTAGCAGTTACCAAAGGGAAAGGGACTGGGGAGGATGGGTGGGAAGGGAGGGATAAGGGGGAAAGGGGGCATTACAATTAGTAGACATAATGTGCGTTGGGCGGCATGGGGACGGCTGTACAACACAGAGAAGACAAGTAGTGATTCTATAGCATCTTACTACGCTGATGGACAGTGACTGTAATGGGGTATGTGGTGGGGACTTGATGATGGGTGGAGTCTAGTAACCATAATGTCGCTCATGTAATTGTAGATAAATGATACCAAAGTAAAAAAAAATTTTTTTTAAGTCATATTAACTCATCTTGTGCTTTGGTCAGTATAATTAGCATTATTATTTTAAAGGTCTCTGTATAGCCTGCACAGACCTTTGAAAGTGTTCAGAAATTTCTTGCATTAAAATGTTTCAAGTTGCAGTCTTTATACAAATTACCTCATTTCACATGTCCTTTTCATTTTAACAGGTCTATCAGCCCCTGTACCCAGGGGCCGAAAAGGAAAGAAAGTAAAGACTCAAACAAGTTCATTTGATATACAGAAAGCAGAATGGCTTCGAAAATACAATCCTGAACAGCTACTTCAAGATGAAGGCTACAAAAAACATATAAAACACCACTGTAATAAGTAGGTAGTAGGGTGTGTTTTTAACACAACTCAGTAAAAGTTTACTTTTCTGAAGTTACTAACAGTCTTAAAGCATGCTGATTTTGAGTACAGAGTCAGTGTGGTCTAGGACCAACCCTAATCTTAATCTTACAGGGTATCCTTCAGCAAATCATGCTACCTCTATGTTACTGTTTTCATCAACAGAGAGAGAAATAAAATTGGTTTCCAAATGATCTCATGATATCTTACTTGGATATTAAATAATGATGAGTGTGAAGATTTTGGAGAAACCTATTTTATGTATATGGTAGTGAGATTTAATCAGAAATTATTTTGTTATGAAAAATCTATGTACAAATTCTTTTCTAATTGTAACCTCAGTAGAATTTTCTTAAATGATTAATACATATGTGACTTGATTTCTTTTCCCTCATTTTTAGGGTTTTGCTTCGTGTGAGAATGCTCTATTACCTAAAGCAAGAAGTCATTGGAAGTGAGTGTCAGAAAGTATTTGATGGAGTTGATGCAAGGTAAATTAAATAGCATATTTATATTTATTTTTCAATAACATGACAAGACAAAAACTGTATGACCCGAAAATTATACCTTAAATGGCTTCTTCTCTGAAATCAACAAGAAGAAAACCTACCAAATTTAGAGAATTAACCTATGTCAATTTATTGCCTTTTCTGTTATATGCTATTTGGCTCTGTCATTAAACGTTATAACACAGTAATAGCAGTAGTAGTAGCTTTCTGCCATCATATGTAAAACAATCTTTCTGGGCTCATTCTTTTCTTTCCTCTTGTTAGAGTGGAAGAGGTTTCATGGGTGCCTGACTTTCGTGTCCACATGTGATCCATCCAATACCCTAGTCTCTCAGGTCCTTGGCCTTATTCTACTTCTCCCTTATTCTTGAAATGCTGTCTTCTGTGGCATCCGGTCTACTATACAACGTGGCTCTCCTTTTTCCTCACTGGCCTTTCCTTTTCGTTTTCCTTTGCTAGTTCTTATTCCTCTAACAGATCTCTTTCACTGTTGGTTTGGCCAGGAATTCTGTCCTCAGCTCATCCTTGTCTATCCCTTCTCCTTAGGTAAACTCATGCAGTCTCAGCATATTGAATATTACCTCAAATTTACATATTCATCCCAGACCTCTCTCTGACCTCTAATCTCTGAGTAAGGGGCCTTCCAACATTTCCACTTGAAAGTCTAAATTGACATCTTAAACTTTTTCCTGGCTCTGCCAAATCTCTGTCTGATCCTTTCCCTCCCACCTTCCATGTACAGGTCTCCTCCATCCCAGTAAATGTACTACGTGGTTGCTCTGGTACCATTCTTGAGGCTTCTCTTCCCCTCAAACCCTATTCAAAGACCTGCCAAATTTGAGTGTTTTTCACTGTCTTGTCTGCTAAATCCCTAGTCCAAGCCACCATTACCTCTTGTTCTGACTTCTGCTGAGTCCTCCTAATTGGGTCTCTCTGCCTCCACTTTTTCCTTTCTACAATCTAACATTAACACAGCAGCCAGAGTGATCTTTCTGAAGCAAAAATCAGGTGATGACGCTCCTCTTCTTAAAACCTTCCAGGTGCTTTTCATTTCTCTTAGAATAAAATCCAAACTCCCTATGGCCTGCAGGCCTCACATAACTCTGCGACCTCTTCTTTCACTCTGTCCCTCATTAACAGTGCTCACCACACTGGTGTTTCTGTTCCTCCACCATGCCAAGCTCATTCTGTGCTGTTCCTGCTGGTACAAATACTCTTTCCTCTGACTTTCCACAGCACTGCCTCTTCAGATCAATCAGGTGTCAGCTCAAGTTTTACCTCCTCAGACAGGCCTTCCCTCACCACTCAAGACTACTTAACCTGATTTTATCTCATTCATGATGCCTATTACTGTTAAACTTTATTTTTATTTTTATATTACTTTTCTCCTCCCATTAACGATTTAAGCTATTTGAAAGTTAGGTATGTAATGTTTCACTGAGCATTGTATTCCCAGCCCCTAGAATTTGGGACGTAGTAACACAGTAGTATTTGTTGACTAATTGACTACTTTTTTCCCTTGGACCTTTCTACTTGTAATTTGCCAGGAACTGCAATCTATGAAATTATCCCTAAATTTTCTTTATTGATCACCCATCTCTGGCTTTACATCTGGATTTTAACAGTTTACATCTCCCTCGGTGCATACACAGACACACACTACTTTTGGACCCCATATCTCCTCACACTACTATGTTATTACTGTCCTTTATTTCAGTCAAATTCCTTTCAAGAAGTATCTGTATTTGCTGTCTCCTTTTTCTCCTCTCCGATTCACTATGTATCCACCACCATTCAGCTTCTACCTCCATCTCTACCACCCACTTTAAGAAGTTCTTTGCCAACATTCTTGCTGCTAACCTCCATGTCTGTATCATTAGTGTTTATCATACTTTACCTTTATTGACCACTTCCTTTTTTGTAAAAATGCCTCTGTAAAACCATTTTACTATACATTTTCTTTTTTTTAGCCTTCTGCTTGCTGTTTTACAGGTTCCTCTTCCGCCTGTCTCTTAAATGCCCTCTCCTTTTCACTTACTCTTCTTGGATATTCTCATCTTTTCTGTGGCATCAGTTTTTATTTCTGTACTGGTGAATCCCAAGTCTATCTCCAGCCCTCATCTCTCTTCTGACCTTCAGGTCCATATCTCTCAAATGTGCCATGATTACTAATGCCTGCAGTCCTTTGCATTCTTGCTGGAACATTATCTTTCCCCCTTTCTGCCGTCTTAGTGCTTAGCTGCCATCCACGCAGCTTTTCCTTATCTCTCTCATCTGGGTGAGGCACATACCTAGACTAACTACCCTGTCATAGCACTCATCACACAGTATTGTAGGTACCTCTTCACAAAGATGGGTGTGTCTGTCTTATTGCTATTATTGCCACATAGTGAGTGCTACTTAAATACATTTTAAATGAATGATCCAGCTTGGGGAATTAAAAGGAAACTTTATGCAATAGAGCACATGAAGTGAATCTATAAAAACAGAAATCAACAGGTGCACATGCACCTTATTAATTACTTTGACCAGCAGTTAACGGACACTTACCCTGCCTGTGGCACTTACGGTTGAGTATTAGGTGTACACTAAATGTTTTCCACTCTTTATAAGCAGGGAAACAGTTCACCTCAGATGATAATCAGTGTTTTGCGGTTAGAGTGCCACCAAAAGGTTGGTAAGGGGAACTATGTGACCCACTGTTTGTTTGTTTTTTTACCCCCTTGGAGAATGCTAATACTGGTGAATCCCAAGTCTATCTCCAGCCCTCATCTCTCTTCTGACCTTCAGGTCCATATCTCTCAAATGTGCCATGATTACTAATGCCTGCAGTCCTTTGCATTCTTGCTGGAACATTATCTTTCCCCCTTTCTGCCGTCTTAGTGCTTAGCTGCCATCCACGCAGCTTTTCCTTATCTCTCTCATCTGGGTGAGGCACATACCTAGACTAACTACCCTGTCATAGCACTCATCACACAGTATTGTAGGTACCTCTTCACAAAGATGGGTGTGTCTGTCTTATTGCTATTATTGCCACATAGTGAGTGCTACTTAAATACATTTTAAATGAATGATCCAGCTTGGGGAATTAAAAGGAAACTTTATGCAATAGAGCACATGAAGTGAATCTATAAAAACAGAAATCAACAGGTGCACATGCACCTTATTAATTACTTTGACCAGCAGTTAACGGACACTTATCCTGCCTGTGGCACTTACGGTTGAGTATTAGGTGTACACTAAATGTTTTCCACTCTTTATAAGCAGGGAAACAGTTCACCTCAGATGATAATCAGTGTTTTGCGGTTAGAGTGCCACCAAAAGGTTGGTAAGGGGAACTATGTGACCCACTGTTTGTTTGTTTTTTTACCCCCTTGGAGAATGCTATCTTCAGTGTGCTTTCTGCTTTCCTTTATCTTTCGGTGCTTATGCTTTGTTTAGTCCTAGTCAGGAAATGATCAGAAATGAGTATCTTCTTTAACTGTATTTTTCTCTTCATTCATTTTTTAGCTTTTGCCAAATCAAGGGAAAAATCACTCTTTTTTCTATGTTTTTCTGCAGTAAGATAGAAAATACTGTGACTGTGACCCTTCTGGTATTAGGCAAAAGTAGAGATAATAAGGTGTTCATTTAAGTGCAAAATATTTTCTTTTAAGAATCCAAGGAAGGATCTATATGCATTTCTCTATATTCCTTAGGTTAAAAAACTTTATCTGTTGGCAAAATACTTAAGAAAAATATAAAAAGTAATTTCTTATCCATGTTTTGTTTATGTTTTATTTCCTTATAAGACAAGTCCTCTTTTTCATTGCCAATGTCCTTCATTTCAACAAATTAGTGGCTAAATATTAGATTCTTGTGGACTTACTCAGGAACACAATGACCATTTGCTGATTTCTATTCCTCTATGAAAATTTATTTTGAGTTCCCAAAGATAGCCAACGTACAAATGAACTTTTTGCCACACAACTTAATTGTAAGTAGGAAACTCCCCATTTCTTCAAATCTATACTTCTTTTCCAATTAATTTATGAAACTCAGGTGCCAAGACAAGGAGATGACTTAAGATAACACTTAATTTGTGTTGTATATTATGTCTCTAATTCTTTGAATATTGATAACTCATGAATACCAAACATGGAAATTCTCAATTATAATTATTGATTTCCTTGGGCATTTCACCCTATCCAATCTCTACCTTGTCAAATAAAATATAAGAATGGTATGTGTGTGTATAAATAATACTTGCTAAAAAATAATAATAATAGTAATAATACTTGCTAATCATTGTCAGACATTAGCTATATGCTACACTAAAGAAGATAATAGCTTGAATCATTGGTGAAGAAGTCAACATCTGAGCCTTTCTATACATAGCTTTTTTTCCTTTTTAGAGGTGTTATCATGTTACTTGCAAAAGGTTTCTGGGAAAATAATGATTTCAAGTGATAAGCAAAGGACATGTTTGTAAAATTACACATGCTATAGTAGTTTCATATTCATAAAAACAGCCAAATGACTAAAGCATCATGGATTTATTACAGATTTTAGTACTTTATTATATTGTCATTCTGCAGCATGGTATTTATGTACAGCACAGAAAGAGCACTTTGAATGTTTTAATCAAATTATAGATCGAAAGCTTGCTGTTTTCCTTTACTTGTAAGCTGTGCTTAATTTTTCAGTGTGATTTTCTTAGCAGTAGTGGTCTAGAAGAGACATAACTTGTTTTGAAGTCTAAAGAGTGCCCTCTTACGGCCTCTCACTCTCCTCATATACAAAGTAAATATACCATTTGATTTTTACAGCAAATGATTTTTGTCAAGTTGCTGCCTGACGTAAGACTCTACTTTCCTGTAGAACCCTTTGTCAGTATATCTGAAGTGGAAAGAATATGATTCCCTTAGAGTAAAGTAAACATTTCTTCTGTTTAGCTTAAGAATATTAATTCATTTTTATGGTAACTTTGTTGCGATTATGCAATTTTATAACTTAAATTGGTGGTAATTGGAAAATTTTTAAAAAATGAAATAGTCTTTTAAAAAACTATAAATGCTTTATAAGCTAGGTAGAGTTTTGCTTCCTCTGATTTGTTTGTAATAATTCATAATGCCATATTGTGATTTTTTTTTTTAAGTGACATTGATGTTTGGGTCCCAGAAACAGACCACTCAGAAGTTCCTGCTGAATGGTGGGATTTTGATGCTGATAAGTCACTCCTTATTGGAGTTTTTAAACATGGTAAGTGAGAAGTGAGGTATGTAGTCATCTTCTGTGGGTAATTGAACTAGTTCTGTTTATTGATTTCAACCTACAGCTTTATTCCAGTAACACCTATGTTATTATATACCATAAAAAGCATACACTGCCAAACTATGTCTGTCAGTTACTATATTTCCTAATGAAAGGGTAGTGGATGTGACCTGCCCCTCCTGGTCATGACTCTTACATAGCTTCCCCTCTCTATGTGAAGTGTGTTGTGTGTGTGTATACGATCACTTTTCCCTCCTTTTCATTTTAACTGATAAGTTTAACCTAAAATTTTAAATACACATATTGCCAGATCTTGTGATGTTTGTGATAATTTCTACAAAACACACTTAGCCTATATCATTTTAATATATGGTCCCTTTGGTCCAGGAATATCATCCATCTTAAATATAAGGAATCCTTGTAGTTATACATCTTTATTCTTTTTATTCTTTTCACATTGATAATGGGTGATTCCTCCAGGTTATGAAAAGTACAACACTATCCGAGCTGACCCAGCACTGTGCTTTTTGGAAAGAGTGGGAAAACCAGATGAGAAAGCAGTTGCTGCAGAACAGAGGGCAAATGACTTTATGGATGGGTATGTGCATTTCAGAATCATGATTTTTCCGTATATCTCTATCAACATCATCATATTCCATGTCAGTGATGTTTTTGTAAATAATGTAAAAGTAAGAGAATTGGAGTTTGAAATTAAAAGAGCTAATGATACTCTTAATAGGTTAGCACTTGTCCACCAGTGTGATCAAGGAAGAGACTAGACCTACCCCACACCTATTCTTGTGATGAGTCCTTAATTTACCATTGTTAATGGTCATGGCCATTAAAGCTATAAAATTCTAGGAGCATAAGAGGGAAGAAGAAAGCCAAGAATACTACACTTTGAGAGAAGCAGGATGTTCATTTTATCTGTTATGTGGCCTTTATTGTTTTTCTTACCAAAGAGAAACTATTTTGAGGTTAATAATACATTTAAAAGTCAATGTGGGAGAAAGAATAAGCACTAGCTGTCTTCTGCTTGCTATATAACAGCCTTCATGCTATGGCTTGGGCTCCTTGGGCTAAAGAACAGACTCCAGTGTAACCTTTAAAACACACTAAAAAGTTCTCCCAACAGAGACTCCATTTGTTTGTCCTGTCAAGAGAAATTTTAAGTCCAACACAGTAATGGTAGCATTTTTTGGTATTTTAACAGGGATGTGGAAGATCCAGAATACAAACCTGCCCCCACTACTTTTAAAGATGATATAGAGGTATGGTTTGGGTCAGATTTTGAAATGCTCAATTCTAGCTATTCTATGGTTTCTTTAGTTTGCTTTTTCTTCTGTGTGTTTTTCCTTTTTATGTTTTCATTATACATAATCCTCCTGTTACTTAGAAAATTGGCTAAGTTTTAGCAATCAACTTAAGTTGACAGACATCACAAATCATTCAGAATTTGCCTGGTCTTCCCTTTTGGACAAGCTGTAGGCAGGTATGGACATGTGGATGAAATTTGGCTTGCCCACATGCTACCCCGCTAGAAACTAAGAAGGTGTCTAGGGGCAAAAATCCCAAAACAGAGCTAGATACTAAAAGTACTCAGCCAAAGATAAAAACTATACCTGCATACAGAGCTTTGAAATGGATGGTGGAGCCTGTAGGAATTCTGAGCTGCTCAAGTATGGTGCTAAGTGTTCTATTCATGGAAAGTTGAGAAGAAAAAAAGGAGTTGGATGAAAACACAGAAAACCTGTGGAGCAGGGAGCATGATACTGAAAAGACGTAAGGAATTTCTGCCGTATTTATGAGAGTGTTGTAAAAGACTGGATGATGCTGTAACCGTCAGGTGAAATTTGTTGGTCTTCATAGCCAAGGGGCTTGGATATTGATGCCTATGAAAGGACAAGAGATGTGGTTCAGGCCAGTGTGTAGCAGTGAGAACTGAAACCCTGTGTAAAGTCAAACCCTCAAAGGGCAGTGCTTTTTTTCTGAAAGCAGCACAGGGAAACAGAAAGGAAATCTATCACCCCATGTGCTCTGGGTAGGGGAAAGTCATTTCCCCTGAGAATTCATAGCCATAAGCCAGCCTTCTTTAGTTATGCTTTGATTCTTTTACTTCATCTGTATGGTCAGGAACCTCAAGCCTAAAACAATGTAAAAAGGGGTCCCAGACCGGTAATAACACTGAGGCACCTGTAAAAACAAAAAGGAGAAAACAAGAACTGTGGAAGAAACCACCTCATTCAGACTGCACTTGAGTCCTGAAGATAAAGTCCTCCATTAAGTGAGATCAAAATCCAAAAATTTTTTAAAATATGAGGAACAATGTACTATGAGTGAATGTTAGCAAATACAACAAAGAACAGGATTAGACCGCTAAAAATTTCTCGTAGCAGATCTATTGAAATAGAAAACAAAATTTTTCAATGATTAAAGGAATTAAAGAAATGGAAACTAAAGATACAATTTTGAAAGACTAGGGACATACAAAAAAACATAATACGTAACTTTAGAAGTTGAAAGTACCATCATTAAAATTTTAAACTCACAATATGGTTTAAACATTCTGGAGAAGCAGATTAACACAGCTCGTGAGAAAAAAATGATTTAGAAAATAGGTATTTTTAAATATTTAATAGATATCTAATAGATAATGAGCCGTAATGTAGAATGATAAATCCATTTGTTCCCATCAGGAGACAGAAACCGTATGATTTGAACGAGGAAACTTTAGTGTAAGGAGCTACTGACTAATAGGGGATTGAGTAATGAGGGACTGGCTGGTAAGCATCGTAGAGGCCTGAGGAAGGGCCCTGTGCCCAGCAGGGCGGACATCCCCACCGCTGCGGCTGTGAGCCGCACAATCGCTGGGCTACCCGGGCTGCTGCTGGGGCTGCCATGGAAGCGTTTCCTAGGTGTCTGCGCTGGAGGCATTCCACTGCAAAATCACCTAAGGGGACGTTGCTAGGGAAAGCTGCGGGCACGAGGTGCTAAGAGGCTGCCTGAACTGGCAGGAGCTGGACGGGATGTGGCAGCTGAGCCAAGGGAGGAGGAGCCCCCCAGAACCAGGAAGGAAAACCCTTTACCTCCTACAGTGTCTCTGGGGCTCCCTCTGCTGACAAAGTTTAACGCATACCGGTTGGCTAAGAAAAAGTATTTAAAGAGCCCATATCCATTTCCTTAGAGCCAGTAATAAGTATGATAGGCAATAAATCAATAACCAGCACAATGGAAAAAACAAAAAAACGTTTTAGAGACAGAAAGGCTACCTTGAAGTCTGGCATATGTCTAATAAGCATTCGAAAAGGAAAGACTAGAGAACATAAGGGAGAAGCCCTATTTTAACAGCTATCAACTGAAAATTTTTCCAGCTTGAAGAAAGACATGAATGCTCAGATTCAAAAAGTAAAGGGGATCTTGGCAGGATAAAGAAAATTAAATCCACCCCAAAACAACACATCCTGGTGCAACTGCAGATAAACCAAAGAGAAAAGGTTAAAAGCAACCACAGGAAAAAGACTACTGAATGAAGATTATTCTAACTTAAGGCTTTTCTAAAACAATAGAAGCAGGTAGTCATTGGCCTAAAATCATCAAGGTTATGACTATGTTAAATTTGTGGTAATGTTGGGATACCTAATTGGAGGTGCTCTATTGACAAATAAATATTAAATATCCAGTACAAGCAAACTGTTCAAGGCTAAAAAAGAAAAGATTTGCAGGTTATCTAATAATCAAATATGGGAATGAATATTCTGATAATTGGTATGTAGAATGAAAAAAAAACCACAGTTAGCAATAAAACCTAAGGCATATTTATTGTTAGAGGGAGGATGGAGAAAAACTGGCCTAAAACTGAATAGAGGAAAGGAAATAATTTTAGTAAATAATAACTGGTCTAAAGTATCAAAAGCAGGAGAGAAGTTATGAAGAGGCAAGAAATAACAAGAAATTTAAGTTTTATTTTTGCTAAATCAGTCATCAGAAATTCTATTGCAAAGAAAATTCTCTTATAAAGACTATGTAATAGACAAATAAAAGTTAAATATCCAGTACAAGCTCTTTCCTTGTTTCTCTTTTACATGTATTGACCCAATTGCCTTATGACAAATTTCTGTTTCTTTTAAAAGGATGATGTTTCCTCACCAGGAGATCTTGTTATAGCAGATGGAGGTAAATTGCAACTATTTATTTACATAGTATTAGTGGAAATTAATATTTCATGATACCATGAAAACAATAAACTATTACACCATTATATCTCAGGTATTTATGAAATGTTTATTGAAGACAGTTGTAATCATTATAGGACATGCAAGTTGATTGAGAATTTATTATCTTGAGTTGTCGCAGATTACACAGTGACAGAGCTTTTACAGAATAGAAACTTTGATGATTTCATTACTTGATTATTAAAGTTGTGAGATTTCAATTAGTTTCTTCTGCCCATTAGGAACCATTCTGTATCACTTAGTTTCTGCAGAGCTTTTCTTTGCAGGGTCTTGCTTCCACTTCCTTCAGATACCAAGGAAGGAACATACTGTTGGAAGAGTACTGTTATTCCCAGTTGGCACCCAAGTGGAGCAGTGCCTCACTGTCCATAGTTCCACTAGGAATGAAGGAGTAGATTTGCCTAGCATGAATGATTACCCCTTGAATAGTGTATATAATTATAATATTACCTCCCGGAAATAGAAAGTTAGGTCCTGAACTTCATTAGTTGAATAAAAAGCTTAAAAGTTACAGGATTGTCACACTGTGTTTTTTAAAATGTCTTCCTTCCTAACAACTTTTTAAATGTTTTGGTTCTAATTAAATTGAGATTAATTTAATACAAAAGGCTTTAATTAAAAAAGCATATAGTATTCAACTTTTCATAGGATTTCAGTTTGACTTTTTATTTAAGTTAAAATACTAAGTATTGCTAGCCAATAAGATGTACGAGACCTGGAAATTCAAGATCTGTTTTCTGTGCAAGTGAAGTTCTCTTTAAGTGGGTAACATTGTGGTTCTTTATTCCACTTCCACTATGACCTACTTACTTGGAGCTACTCGTAGTGTTTGTTGTAATGTTTTCAGACCTGTAGTTAAAACTTTCTATGATGAGAGATTGGCTTGGTTTGGTTTCCCACATAGTCAGATTAAAAGTTAAAAGTTCCTTTAAGTAAGGAAATTCTGCCATTTTTGTGAGGTTCATTACAGTATTTGTTTAGGTTTCTGGGTTTTTTTGTTTTGTTTGTTATTGACATGAGTTTCCTTAAATATAGATGGTCATCTGATGGAGGGTGATAAAATTTATTGGCCTACTCAGTCAGCTTTGACCACACGTTTGAGGCGTCTCATCACTGCATATCAGCGTACTAATAAAAACAGACAAATTCAGCAGATACAACCTACTTTCTCAGTGCCTGCCAGTGTGATGCGTCCTCTTTATGAAGAAGCCACTCTTAATCCAAAAATGGCAGCCAAGATAGAAAGACAGCAGAGGTAAGACAATAATAGCACTTATTTTTAATATATAATACCTAAATATACTGTTTGTTCTGAATGCTTTTCAGGTGTGATTATCTCATCTTGTGAGAGGTATTACCTATAGGTAGAGAAGTTGGTCAGAGCAAAGTGCTTTATACACATTTACTTGTGTAATTATACACAAATATGGTCAAACTAGTAAAGATGACTGCAGTGTAGTTACTAGCAATAGTTAATATTTAATCATTCTTTTGTCATGTTTATAGTGAGGTATGAAAAAGAAGCTGCATAGCAAACTCAAGAATTAAATTATCAAAGAAACATACCATTAAACATGTAATATTTGAATTACAAGAAATAAATTCCATTCTAAAATAAAATTCTTATAAAGAAATAAATTCTTTACAGTATGACTTTTATGAAATATAGGAATGTACATATGACAAGTCTGTCTTTGCTTTATACAGAAGATTAACCCTTGTAACTACTGATAGCAAAGGGGAAAAAAATAGTAGAACTTCTTGCAAGAGACATTGTTAAGAAGACAGACAAGCTTCTCTCATTCCCAAAGCCTTAATTTTTTAAAAAGCGTGAAATACATGGAAAAGAAAAGCAGTGTTTAGCAATAACCTGGCCTCCTTGTTAAACCTCAGTCCTTGGAAGCTCTCTAGAAAATAAATCACTGTTCTTTTGTATTATTTGTAGCACATTTGTTGTAACCAGAATTTAGTCTGAAATGTAAGATTTTAGAAGTTCATAGACATAATCTTCAAATACTACTGCCTCTATAAATACACTGTTTTGTTTATTTCTCATTGCATAAAAACCCATACCCAAAACCTGGTGACTTAAAATAGTATCAGTTTTTATTTGTCATGATTCTGTGGGTTGACCAAGTGGTTCTTCTGCTTCTCATGATGTTGGTAGGAGTGCTGGAAGGTACAGAATGCCCTTGCTCACACAGCGAGCTGGCTATTGGTGCTGGCTGTCCCCCGGGGGCTCAGAGTCTGAGAGGAAGTATTCCAAGTGGCAGAGGCAGAAGTTGGTTTCTTAAGGACCCAACTTCACAGTTACAAAGTGTCCCTTCTGCCACCTTCTGTTAAAAAAAAAATCACAGGACCAACCAAGATTAGAGGGAAAGTGAAAGAAGTTGCACCTCTGAATGGGAAGAGTGGCAAAGATTTTGTGGTCATCTTTAATGTACCACATACATTTTCCCTCAGTCCATCAGATCTGGGTCAATCTCCCTAAAATACTAGTTTTATCATGATATTCAGTGGCTCATTATTCAATATAGGTGAAAGTCTAATTTCTTAAGACTTATTAGTTCAAATCTCTTCAGTTAGGCTTCAGCATGCATTTCTGATTCTGTTCACTACTACTCCTTACCCATAATGTCCTACTTATTCTTGACTCAATACCCTAGCTTATGTTGTTCTTACCACCTGGAATACTCTTCTTCCTGTTTTTTAGTGCATACGTAACCCATCCCTAAAACCTCAACCCATGTCCTTTCTCTCCCATTTATTTTTTTCTCAGCCAGTCTGGCTCACAGTATTCTCTGGTTTTCTGCACTTATATACTACTCAGTTGTTACAAGATCATAAAATATTATCATGACATTTACTTTTCCTTACTTTGTCTTGTTTTTCTAAGTTGTAAATTCTTTAAGAGTGAGCACTGTATCATATTATTGTGTGTCCTGTGTAGTTTTTCAATTCATCCTTTTTTTTCTATTCCTACTTTTACCACCCAGGTGCAAGGTTGATATTATTTGACTGGCTTCCCAGACTAACTGTTGTTGCATCATTACATTAATCTTCTAATGTATCACCACTTTAACAAGAATGCACTATTAATGCCTTTCAAACGTCTTTCTCATATGAACTGCCTCATTTATACAACAATCTGTGGGTTAAGCAGGGGAAAGGTTCTAGAAGTAGAGACTTGTGTTTAGATATCTGTGATGTGTGAGGATATTACTCTCTTAAAAGTACCTATAGGAACTTTCAACTGAATAGAGACTATTTTTAGTCAGGCATTTAGAGTATTTAATAATCTCACCCCAACCGTCTTTCCCACTGTTGCCAGTATGAGCCATATCCTTTTCAATCTGGATTATTCATCATTCCCCCAAAATGTAGGTTCCTTCCTACTTATCCTCTGCCCTCTTCCTTAGCATTCCCTCCCAGTTGTAGCCTTCTCTTTGCCACTTTGTGGTACCTTTCATGATCACTCAAGCCTGAATTGATTGATCCTTCCATCTTCTGTATTCTACTAAAATTCTTGGTCTCTATGACATATGGAACTATAAAATACTGCCTATTTAGTTTAAAATGTTTTATCTTTTTCCTGATGTTAGAGTTCCCATATCTTATGTAATCTTAAATCCCCTGCATATTTTCTCAGTAAATATGCAAAAAATACTCTTATCTAAAGGAAAAGAGCCATGGTTGGATGGATAAGTCCACTAGCACTTTAAAATGTTTATAAGGCAATAACCCTGAATTTAATCCTTTTAAATATTAGTTACTTGAAATGTTTTAATTTTTATTACAGTTATTATAATCAGTATTGGTAAATATTTATTCAATCTGACTCAAAATAGATGGACAAGAAGAGAAGAAGCTGACTTCTATAGAGTTGTATCTACTTTTGGAGTGGTATTTGATCCTGACAGAGGCCAATTTGATTGGACAAAATTTAGAGCTATGGCTAGGCTACATAAGAAAACTGATGATAGTCTGGAGAAATATTTGTATGCATTCATGTCTATGTGTCGGCGAGTTTGTCGCCTTCCTTCCAAAGAAGGTATGTATGAAAATTTTTTTTCCCTTGTTTCCTCTTCAACTCTTATTCAATACTGGCTCTGGTCCAGCATGTCAGCAATTTTCAAAATTATAAATTAATTATGCTAAAGATCCTCTATTCATTAATGCTACTATCAAATGAGAATCTAAAGAGAATAAAAGTAAAAGTAGATGTCAAGTTTTGAGAAAATAGCCAATGTTTATTTAGTATTAGATTTATGATCAGGAAAGGTGGAAGATAAAGGATAGCTTTTGGTGAACAGAACTAACCTATATTCTTAGCTATCTTACAGGAACTGTGGTAGACGGCTTACTTACATGAATAATTTTACAAGGCATGGGGCCCCCTGCTCAAAAACATTTCAAAGACTTTTGGTAGAAAAAACCACTGGTGCCTTCAAAAAACAGCTAATCAGAGGTAGTAATGCTCGGCTAAGGCCCTGTTGTGGGGTAAATTTCATTGTCTTTATAGAGCAGAGAAATAGCTCATCTTGTTAGCAATTCCTTTCCGTAATACTGTGTTAAAAGCAACTATCTCCATTTTTTGTTGAATATGACTTCTGATTTCCAGGAGCTTCCTACTCCTATTTCATAGTAAAAATACAAATGGCTTATAAAGGGACTTAAATCCCATGTGGGTTTGTTTGCTTCTTTGAATTTTATTTCCCTAATGGTCTGTTCTCAGTCCACTGAATAGAGTAGCTGATCACATGACCACCCAAATACCACATAGTTCGGGTAGATTTTAGTCTTCTTGAAGGTCTTGTTATAACATGGTCAATGGGTTTAAAAAGACATAAAGCAGAGTGTATTAATTATGGTTGCTAAGAGGCCCTGTTTCTTTTTTTATTTTCAAATTCCCATCAGTTTTCCAAACTTCCTCAGTTCACAGTGCCCTTAATGTCTCAGTAATTTGTCATAGCACCTGAGGCCAAAAGTTTTGTTTGATAATTAGGTCCAAACTACTTGACAAGTGTTTATGTCCTAACAATCTAGTAATTGCTTGAAAACAAAATGTAAATTGAAAGAAAAAAATAATACCCTATTTCTTAAATAACTGCAGTTACTTACCAATGGGATGTGTTCACCTTTTGGTCACTGTACAACTATTCACACTCTTGTTTCCTGTTCCATATTTATTTTTACATGGTCCTTGATTTTTTCTTTTAACTTCATTTGAACTATTAGAATCTCAGAAAAGTTGCAGAAGCCACAGGAGTTTCCATATATTCTTCATGTTGCCTCCCCCAATGTTAAAATCTTAAATGACTACATGACTAGTTATCAGACCAGGAAGATAATGTTAGCATAATACCATTAACTAAACTGAATACCTAGTCGAATCTTACCAGTTTTTCCACAGATGTCCTTTTTTGTCCCATGATCCCACATTGTATTTGTTTTTTTTTTCTCCTTAGTCTCCTGCAGTCTGTAATGGGTCCTCAATTTTTTCTTCTCCTTCATGGTCTTGATGCCTTTGAAAAGTACTTATCAGTTATTTTGCCCCAAATCCCTCAATTTGGATTTATCTTGTGTTTTCACATGATTGGATTGTGGTTATGTGTTTTTGTCAAAAGTACCACAAAAATGGCGTATCCTTCTCAGAACATAGTATCATGGAGTTCATGATATCAGTGTCTTACTACTGATGATCTTGCCCCTGATTATTTGGTTAAGGTAGTTTTTGCTTGTTTCTCCAATATAAATTTGCTCTCATTCTTCACCCACCAAAGTTAAATAATTTGAGGAGATACTTTACTCAAATCCTGTTTCTCCCCAAATTTTTCACCCGTTGACTTTAGTATCCATCAGTAGAGCTTGTGTGCAACAGTTTTTACTGTGGAATTCTGCAAGGAAGGACTATTGGATCTCCCTTGTCTGCTTGACCAACTATTTATTCATATCAGTGTGGACTCAGGGATATTTAGTTTATTCTATAGGTCATAATCCAGTACCATCATTCTTTTTTTTTGATGCTCAAATTATCACAAATTTGGCCATTAGGGCTCCTTTAGATGGTTCCTGCATCATTTCAAGTCCAACACTTTTTGGATGCTTCCCAATGACCAGTTTCTCTGCCTGCAAAGATGTGACCTTATCAAAAGGAATATAGCAAGATCTGTTGACACCGAACCATCTCAAACTAGTACTTCATACAGTGTTACCAAATGTTCTGGTGTTTCAAATTTTAAGGAAGCCTTTGTTGAGAGTGCACTGCAACATCCCAAGGAATCTTGGTGTGGTTGGGGATATGTGGACTTCTATTTGTCTATGGGGTATTGCTTAACTTAATTTATATTTATAAATGAGTTCAAGTAAGTTTTTCTCTTTGATTAAGACATGAATTAGTAGAGGCGTAGCTCATAGGGAATTCAAAAAAGTAAATTCTTAGTTATATTAATGTACTTCTAGAATAATCTTACATTGTACTCACTTTCAGAAGATCCAGTGTATATATTTGGTACTTCTTCTTAAAACTTGTATTTTCTCTCATTTAAAAATATTAAAAAGAAATTCTGGAAGCTAGACAAGATACTGAGTAGAGGTACATTTTAGAATTTTCATTGTTTGTTTTAGATCTGTAATAGAGTATTTTTGAGGTTACTATTTTTGTTCTTGTTTCAATGTAGAATTGGTGGATCCAAATATTTTTATCCAGCCAATCACAGAAGAACGTGCTTCTAGGACTCTGTATCGCATTGAACTTCTAAGGAAGGTACGGGAACAGGCCCTCCGACATCCACAATTGTTTGAACGCCTGAAGTTTTGCCATCCAAATCCAGACTTACCAGTCTGGTGGGAATGTGGCCCTCATGATAGGGACTTGCTTATTGGAGCTGCCAAACATGGAGTGAGCCGAACAGACTATCACATTCTTCGTGATCCTGAACTGTCATTTATGATAGCTCAAAGGAACTATAGTCGAAGCAGGATGGCTCATTCAAGGACTTCTACCCCCCTTTTACAGCAATACCAAGTAGCACTTTCTGCTCCTCTTACCTCTCTACCAAGGCTCCTAGATACTAAAGGTATTATTTTAGAGGATATCAAAGTGAAAAGTGAAAGCCTGAAAGAGGAGCCTCAGTCTTCTGAAGAAGAATCCATGTCTTCTGATGAAACCAGGACACTAATAAAGTCTGAGCCTGTAAGTCCAAAGAATGGTGTCTTACCACCAGCTACCGGAGACCAGAAATCTGGTGGAAAAGGTGAAACAGACCGACGCATGGTTGCAGCCAGAACAGAACCCCTAACTCCAAACCCAGCTTCTAAGAAACAGCAAGTCCACAAAAGAGGAGCAGAATCTAGTTCTGACTCTGACTCTGACTCTGAGAGATCATCGTGTTCTTCCAGATCTTCCACCTCCTCGTCTTCCTCCTCCTCCTGTTCCCACTCTCGATCAGGCTCAAGTTCTTCTTCATCCTCCTCTTGCTCTTCAGCATCTTCATCCTCATCCTCCTCCTCTTCATCTTCCTCCTCCTCTTCATCTTCATCAGAAGAATGTGACAGTGAAGAAGAGGAAGTCCAGAAGCGAGGTACATGCATAAAGTACTTTCCCTTTATTTTAAGACAACATTTAAAGTGAAAATTACAAGAATTGACTAGATGTTTGCAGTTGTCAGCTTGTTATGTGTACAGATTTTCTTAGAGAAGCACTATTGAAAAGGAAATTAGAACTGGTACACACTCCCTATTCAATATTCAAGGTATTGCAATATGACTTAGTCAAACAGAGGAATTAGAGATTTTACATAATAGTTTGATTTCTTTGTGATTGCCTGAAATTTAGTATTCTATTTCTCTTGGAACAAGTTCATCAGTGAACAAGTAAAGACAGTATTCTGTATCAGCCACCAGGATTCTTAGATTAAGCAGTCAGACCAACAAGAGTATCATAGGTGCTACTTGGCAGCTATCTACTCAGAAAGATAACAGGATGGGTGTCCTTGCAGCACTCCCAACAGCACAGGTGCAAGGAAATGAATTGACATTAAGTGGGTGCTAGAGCCACTCTTTCCTAAAGAGCCTTGTTTACCCCCCACCCCCGAGGAGCCAGAATCTCTTGTAACAATTCTATAATCATAACTTTGAGAGTTGCCTCAAGGGACATGCCCAGTTATGAGTCACTCCTTAGAGAGTTACAGTATCCCCTCAGGTATGTATGTATGATCTTCCAAG